AATTCTTGTTCAATTTGATTTTTATTAAATAATATTATAATTATTATAAAATAATAATAAATTATTTTGAAAGGATATTGAAGTATTAAATGATATTTCTCAAGATAAAAAAAAAATACTTCAAGAATCTGAAAAATTTTTAAAAGAACAAATTGCAAATAATAAACAAATTCAAGATTCAATTACAAAATTAGAAAAAGAATTTAGTTCTATGAAAGAAGAACAAATTAAACTGAAGGAAATTATTAACACATGTGAAAATCAGGTAAGAATATAAATAAAAATATTACTAATAAAAATTTAATTTAAAAATTTTTTCTCTAAAATTTTTTCTCTTTTAGTCTCTTATACAGAAAAATATAATGAAAGATTTAACCCAACGTGTGGAACAAGTAAGAACTGATGTAAAACATAAGAAATTGCAAATTCAAACTAAAAATACAAAAATAGATAAAGCAAATGAACAAATAACTGCTTTAACAACAAAATTAGAAGATATTAAAAGTCAAAAATTAAATATTGAAGAAAAAGCAAAAGAACTTGAGGATATGATAGAGGTATTTATTATTAAAAAAAAATAATAATTAATGAATAAAGTAAAATAACATATTAAAATATATATAATATAGGAACAAGAGAAAAAAAAAGCTAAAATAATCAAAGAAATAAATCGATTACAAATTACAAATCTACGCACAATGACTCAAATAAAGGATTTAGAAAACGAAGAGAAAATTTTAAAGATGCAACTTGAAAGAGAATTTAAAAAATGTGATTTATTAGATAAATTATGTATTAAAGACGAACAAATTTTGGAAAATAAAAAAGAAATATGGTATCAAACAGAATTTGAAATTCGAAAATATGAAATGAAATTGAACAGATTAAGAGGTCATGAATATGATAAGTCTAAAAGTGAGAAAAAACAAGAAAAGATAGAAGAGCTTCAAAATAATTTAGATGAAAAAACAAATGTGTTTAAGTTATTGCAAAAACAAATTACAACTTTAGAAGTATATAGTTTAAAATTAATTTATTTATTTAAATTACATTTTATTTAAAATGCACTAAATCTATTTTTTATTATGTAGGATAATATGAGAAAAATATCAAACAATTTAACAAGTAGTAATAGTGAATTAGAATCCTTAAGAGATAAAAGACAAAATCTTGTTCTTCTTATGAATGTAGGAGAAAAAGAATTAAAAGCTGTTCAAAATCGTTATGAGGAAAAACAAGTAGAAGAAAGTATGTTACGACTTAAAGTATCTCAAATGGAAAAAATGATATTTAATATTGGAAATAATGTTTATGATTTGGAAAAATATAAACTTGAATTAGAAGCAGTAAGTTTTTAATAAAATATTATTTATAATAATAATAAAAATATTGCAATTAAAAATGTTAAATTAGAATGTAAAATTATTTAGGCAGTGCGAGAACGAAAAGCAGAAATTACAGTGCAAAAAGAATCTCTAAATATTCAAAAAAGAGTTGCCGACGGTGAATGTTCAGAATTAAGAAATGCTATTGCTGAAAGAAAAATACGAATAAAACAATTACAAGCAAGATATGATAATTCTACTGCATTGTTAGGTACTAATCCTGATGGTACTCCAATGAATACTACACACTTGAAAATTCAAAATGCGCAAGAAAGATATCTTTTACAAGAACAAGGTGACAAATTAGATGAAACAATAAGAAAAACTGAAGAAGAAATACAAGCTATGGAAAATACATTACGTGTGATAAATATTTGCAATGATAAATATAAGGTAACATTAAGTACAAATAACCAAGACATATCAGAAGTAGAAGAGCATAAAAAATTGGATAAAGAATTACAAGATGTTGAACAAAATTTAAATCAAAAAAAAGAAGAATTACAATCTTTAACTGAAAATATGCAGGTATTTTATAATATTTAATTTCATATAAAAAAAAATTTTATATAATAAAAAATATATTAAATCTTAAAATAAAATAATTTCTATAGAAAATACAAAATAAGTATGTACAAATTCTTAAGAACATAGAAGAAACTGAAGAATATAAAGAAAATAAAACCCAATATTTAACTGACTTAAAGCATCAAATTCATGAGCAAAAAGAAAAAATATCTAGAGCTGATAAAAATTTACAAAATGCTAAAAAAAGTATTCATCGACTATATGAAACTACAGGAGATAATAATGTTCTTATACAAGAGGTTTGTAAATTAACTAACATATTTTGTAAACTTATCTTAACTTATTTTCATTTAATAGAAGGAGATAGAGCTACGTGAACTTCAAGAACAAAATTCCATTGTTTTACAAGATATTGCAGAATTTACAGTCTCTCATGTAGAAGTTGAATCTTATATTAGAAAATTATTAGCAGCTCAAAATATAGAATTACCTTCTGCAATTTTATTTAGTCAATCTTTATCAAATCATTCCCATAGTCATACAAATTCATCAGAATGTCTACCAAAAAGTACAAATCGTGAAAGTACTTATGAATCATCTAAAGAAAGTATTAGTCATGTTATTAATATACAACCAGAATTTGAAAGTATGTTATAAAAATATATATTTATTAT